TGTCACTTGCAAGCAGTGCAAACAAAAACAAAAAATGAAAACACGTGTAGACATTAATGCAATATATTGCACGAAATRGCCATGCAAAAGTTTGCGTGGAAAACGAAAATTGATTGCAGCAAGTAATTTGCATGCAATATTTGCATTGGTGTGAACATTTGTGCAAATTTTTGCTGCAAATTATTTTCAGCTTGCTGCAAATTGTTTGCATCGTGTGTACCTAGCTTATGAACGTAATGCAGTTTCCTCACCTGAAACAAATACAGTAAAAATTGTATTTTAGAACCCCTACTAGGTTTACGACTCTTACAGCTACTCTCTACTAAATTAAGAGTGACAACTTTTTTTGTGTACCAAAAGCAAACAGAATGAAATGTATATAAAGTTAAAATTAAAACAATGATTGATTTTACCATTCAATTGATTAATCATTTTGATATTAAAGTGATATCCATCGTATCCTTGCCAAAACATCAGCGGGTATTGTAAAGCGTCATATGAACAGTGCGTTTCAGATATTCTTTGTAGTTGCTCAGTACTGCGTCGTGTAAGCACAATATCGCGTGCTCCCAAGCATTCACCAACAATCTGGATTGCCATTTCATCGATTGTTGGAGCATTAAATGTGCGTTCATGTTCTCCAGCTGGTCTTTTATCTGCTCTGATTACAACTTTATAGTCATCTCTTGGCATGCGCTCTAAAGCAGTCTTGAGCAGCTTGACCAATGCATGATGTTCGTGAAGCATTTGCTGCAAATCTGAGCTGTGTTGATTTCTTGAAGCCGGTTAAGTTGTTCTTCCATATTGCCCATTTTATTTATTGATTTATTTCTTAAAGCTATTGAAACAAACGAGAGTCAATTTTAATTTAAACAAGTAAGAAAGCTCTAGTCAAGACTACTCGACTACGAGATCCCCTTGAACCCTTGGAGTAATGGCTATTTCAATAATTTTTCGCGTCTTTCAGCATACACAAGAAACACGCACACACAAACACACACGCACGCATGCACACACACACACACATACACAAACAATTACATACATATACACACACAAGCATAAACACCCATGGGCGGCAGTGAGCGCTTACTATGAGAACTTAATTGCTTAATA